TAGATATAATAGAAAACTCTATATAATATAATAATATCATATAATATAATAAAATATAAAATAAAATAGAGCATTACATAAAATAAAACATTAAAATAAAATCTAATATAATAATCACATTATACAATATATATATATATTTTTTTTACTATAAAGTAAAAACATGTTAATTACTTGTTTATTTACTATAAAGTTTTACTAGTTTATTACTTATATACTATATATATACATATATATATATATATATATAAAATGTAATATGGATTACATAATCAAATTACAAAAATGAAATACTTGTAAGTTATTAGAATATATAACATTTTAAAATGCTTTTAATCAGATTACAGTTACTTTTTTAAATGGACTACATAATTACATATTAGTTACACATCATTTTAATATTTACCCTGAGATTTTAAGCTAATATTTTCATTATTATTATTATTAATTATTAATATTAATTTTTTTCAGTTGACATTTTTATGATTTAATTACTTTGATCAATTCACGAACCCCCTTGAATTTCCCCGCAGTTTAGGAAACCCTGATGTTTAATGCACTTCATGTGTTGATAATAAAGAATCAAATTTATATTCTCTCTCTTTGTATTTTTGTATTAATGAATGTGGTACATCATAATTATACTCAAATCAATATGATAAATGAGTTAGGTCAAAAGTATAAAGTAGCAAAAGTAATATAATATAATATATGGTCTATACTCACAGATATTTTCTGCGGTGATCTGAACGGTAAGCTCTTGACCAGCCGCAGGTAAAATGCCGCCGGTAGGATGAAGATGAGCATGGTGGCTGCAGACGAACCTACAGGAGGAAGAGGAGGAGTTCATATGTGTGTGTTCAACTTTCTTCTCCTCTCAAGAGGGAAAGGGGCCACATCTACTTAGAAGCACAGTGTGGAGAAACTACTGACCGATGAAGCCGAAGATGTCTCTGATGGTGGGGACGAAGATCACCAGGAGGTTGTTGAAGGCCAGTATAGCAGCGGCGATGAGGAAGGGTCGGATCCAGCTGAAATCTTTTCCAGCGAAACACAGCGTGATGACTGAAGAACGGATCTGCAAATATATTTATAGTTTTTTTTCTTCACTTTTTCTTATTTTCTTAACAATAAATGCAATTTTATCTGTGACCCTGGAGCACAAAACCAGTCTTAAGTGTCAATTTTTCAAACTTGAGATTTATACATCATCTGAAAGCTGAATAAATAAGCTTTCCATTGATGTATGGTTTCTCACACTCACACTCACACTCACACTCACACTCACACTCACACTCACACTCACACTCACACTCACACTCACACTCACACTCACACTCACACTCACACTCACACAGAGTGGGCGGAGCCTCAGACAGGATTACAAGTGTAAGCGTGTGGTAGAGTTGCATCAGCCAGCAGCAGCAGCAGGATAACCGGCTGACTGACAGAGTATGACACAGATCACTCAAGCAGAGATCGCATTAAATGCAGCTGGACTTTCAACTTCTAAAGATACAATTTCAGTTTAGCCACTGAATAGAGATCAGATGTGCCTTGAATGATAGAAAGAGTCTTTAAAAAGCCTGTAAATCCAACCGTTTTGTTGCTTTCAGTTCATGTTGAGTGCAACTATACACTAGAGCTCCTGAAAATTGTAGTAAACAATTAACTTGTAAATTCACTGTAAACACTTAGAAATTTTTTCGTTTTACAGTACAAATATCTAAACGTTCATACATCAAAATACATTTACTTGAGAAGCAAAATTACTAAAGTAATTAAGTTTTCAAAAAGTTTTCTAAAAAAATTCAAAATTAAGCGAGTTTGTACTTAAAATAAGAAAAAAACTATACAGTTTTTATAATATTACTATACTATACACTTTTAATAATATTAATAAATTAGGAAATATAATATATTAATACATTTTATAGTTTTAAAATGTATTAACAATAGATTATTAAAATAATCAATTGAATATGCTACTAATGCTACTACTAATAGATAATTGATCAAAATATATAATAATATATTTACAGTATAATATTATCATTTTAATGATATGTAATATTTTTTAAGAAATGGGGTCAGAAAAATTAACTCAATTCAAAGGGAAAAAGAGTTTTATTTTTCCATTCACAAATAATATTTTTAAGCATAAAAGGACTGAATTTTGATTAATTTTTCAGAAAATAAGACTTAATATCTTAAGTCATTTTGCTTCGAGTAAATGTGTCATAATTTATGATTGTTCAGTTATTTTACTGAAAAATAAGACAAAAATAAGTTTGTTTTTTGCAGTGTATACCTCTAAACTCTTGCTGCAACAATTAATTATTTATTTTAATTATGTTAATGGAAATAACAAAGTGAAGTCGTACAATTAAGAAAAACTATATAAAACATTAAAGATTAAAAAAAAAAAATACATCAGTGAGTAAAAACGCTGTCTATTTGCATTCAAAACTGTAGTCCAATAAAATATAGTGGTTCTTGGTGCATCAACAACTCATTTGAATGCATTTTTATTTCTCCAAAAGAATTTTAGCAGACAAAGTTGATCAGTCGAGTTTAAAGGTTTTAAAGGGGTCATATGATGCAATTTCAAGTTTTCCTTTCTCTTTGGAGTGTTACAAGCTCTTGGTGCATAAAGAAGATCTGTAAAGTTGCAAAGACTAAAGTCTCAAATCCAAAGAGATATTCTTTATTAAAGTTAAGAGTCAGCCACACCTACCTAAAACGCCTCGTTCTAACACGCCCCCACATATCTACATCACTATGTGGAAATATTAGCATAATGCCGCCCAAACGTGCACGCAAAGAAAGAAGGCGTGGTTTCAGAAACAGCAGTAGTGTTGATGCAGCCATGTCAGGGAGACGCTGTGT